TTTCCAAGGATTTTCTTTCTAACCATAAGGATTTAAAAATATATTTGAACAATTTGAAAAAATCTTGACCGATCTAACTTACTTTGACTCAAGGCCTTATCAAGGTATTTTGATCATTTTGTCTTTTTTTGCTCAAAACTCAAATTTTATTTTAGAGTTTTCAAAAATCTAATTTCTTGGTATGATTCTTACAAAATGCTTATGATTTTGACGTTGTTTCAACTTAAATCAACCAATTTCAAACAAGTTTGACTAAGTTGACTTTAGACTTTTTTCCTTAATTGTTACTATTTTTCTTTCATTTCTATAAAAATCAACTTATTTAAAATTTTTTAAATATTCTTAATTCTTAAAAAAAATTTGGATAAAAACTAGGTCTCAATTTTTAAAACATCACGATTGAATAAAATATGCCTGGATAAAATTAGATTTTTGCAATTGTCCTTATTTGCATATTTTTTAGAATCATGAATAATTCAAAGATAAAAATAACATTTTTGACTGGGATTAAGGGCTTAGAGTTCTTTTCTTTTTTTTTTTGTTGTTTTGTTTTTTAATATTATTTTATCAGATGTTTTAACACTCTTTTTTTTAAAAAAAAAAAGATAAAAAATTTTATCTTTAAAAGGTCCTTTTTTAATAGAAGTTTTGAAATTAAAAAAATCTCATCTTTGAAAGACTTTTTCTAAATAGGAGCTTGACAACTTTAAATCTCACCTTTAAAAGGTTCCCCCTAAACATAGGTTATAAAATTTTAAAAGTCTCATCATTGAAAGACTTCTCTTAAATAGAGGTTTTTAAACTTAAAAAAAAAAAATCTTAAAAAGTTTGGAGATTATGCCCAAAGGTTTTTCAAATCTCAATACTAAAGCAGATTCAACTCGAAAAACTTATGAATCTTGCCTAGATATCTTATAAATCTCGACGTTAAAATAGATTATACTCGAAATACTAACTAATATTGCTTGAGGTTTTAATGATTATGATTTTCAGTACTTGGAAGTCTTTGTAACAAATTTTCTCATCATGATGTCCATAGGTCTTTAAAATTTTTTAACTTGAAAATTTTAAAAATCCTCAAAATTTTCCTTTTTAAAAAGCACTTCTAACTAATATCATATCTGTTTCTCATTTTTTCAACAATTTTCGTAAGATTGAACTAGAAGATCTTATAAATCTTGATATTAAAATGAATTAAACTAAAAAGACTTACAAATCTTACCTAAAGGACTTAAAAATTATATCTGAAGGTTTTTAAATCTCAACACTAAAGTAGATTCAACTCGTAAGACTTACGAATCATAACCGGAGTACTTAGAAACTATATAAAAAAATCTTAAAAATCATTTACAAAATTTAAAATTCTATACAAAGATTTTAAAAATCATTTAAAAATTTAAAATTATGCTTGAAAGCTTTGATTTTGCCCCGAGGTCTTAAAAACTATATAGAAGTCTTGAAATTTTTCAAAAATTGTTGATTTGTCATTTAAAAATGTAAAATTTTGCTAAAGGTCTTGGAAATCATTCAAAAAATTTGTTTATTAAATCCAACAAACTCAACCTAATTTGAACTTGAAATAATTCGAATCTAAAAAGATTCAAAAATTTTTAAACCAAAATGATCTGATTCGAAATAACCCAACATGAATATGATCCAATTGACCGATTTTCCACTTCTATTTTCATGTGAGTTTTTCTTTTTGTTTGGGTAAAGAGAGAGAGAGAGAGAGAGAGAGAGAGAGAGAGAGAGAGAGAGAGGGGAAAAAAAAAAGGAAAGTAAAAATTGTTAGATAATAGATTGAATAATAATTTTATGGACTCAAAATGATAAATTAAATTAAAAAATTATATAAAAAAAATACAATTAGTTTAAATAAAAATGAAAATATTTTATTAATATTAATTATTAATGTATTAAATTACATTTTAAATGATTTTAAAACCTACATTTATTTTATACTATGCTGCAAAAATAATATTTACATACTCATAAATAAATATAAATTATGTGTTCACAACTATGTAATCATCTATGGTGGAAAACTGGCTGGTCATGTTTTTGAGAAAGGAAGAAAAGAAATTCAAGCTAAAGGAAGAGATAAGAAGAGGAAAGGTGGAGTTATAGAGAAATTAAAAGATGAGAAGAAAATAATTAGGAATTAAGTGAGATTTGGAGAATTTTTTAATTTTCTAATCTACACCTAAATCTAGACTTGACGATTTGTGTCATACAAAATAATCAAATTTGTGTATTCGAGCTATATTTTATACAAAAATTATGTGTTATAATTTATATTGATACGAAAATATAAAATATATTTTTTGTTTTGTTAAGTTCATATTAATTATCTTTAACATTTTAAACTATGTTACCTTTGTGTTTTATTTTATATCGTTTTCATGCCATATCATTGTATCATATTTTAAATTATCAGGTCTACCTAAATTCCAACTAAAAAAAGGGATGCTACATATATAAACTTGTTCAAACCCATAATATTTAAATGTAAAAAAAACCCTGTTGCCAATTGATCCAAACATCAATTGACATTGAAATTTGAAAACTTAAGTGGCTTGATTAAGAGTTTAATTCAAATTCAATTGCCATTAATTGATTTATTGAGCTAAACTATGATAGAAAATGCAGGTTTTTGAATTTATATACCTTTTTTCTTTTTTTTTTCCCAAAAAGAAAGTATTTAGAGGAGAACGTTTACACTTAAAAATATATATAATCTTTTAATTTAAAAGAAGGATTAATATTATGAAGATTATAATAAAATATTTATTATAGTATTTGAATTTTAAAAATTTTTAATATGATATCTAAATTATGAATATATTAACTAATATGCATATGATATTCACTTTTAATATAACTAATTTTAAATGATGAGACGTGATAGATAAATAATCATCTAAATATTATATGTGTTAATAAATTCATTATACAAATATAACATTAACGATTTTTAAAATTTAGATATAATATTAAATATTTTAATATAATTTAAAAATCATTCGTAATAATATTATCGATTAAGAGAAGCATGTGCTAAATAAGATGATTTGAGAAAAAGAATGACATGGCTTGTTGGTGGACTAATTAACATTGGACAAATGGCAGAATAAGAATAAGTCAGCCACTGAAAATTTGTCAACAGATTTGCCGAATGACATGGCATTATTTGAGGGAAAAGGACTGATGCAGCAGCCAAATCAACTAGCATGGTGATTAGTTGGACAAATGAACAATAAAATCAGCGTATGGGGCATCCTTTTCCTACCAATTAGAGTTTAAAAGTTTGAATTCAAGTAGAATGAGCGAGATTTATCGACAAGGAGGAATTCCTCCCATTGTATAAGTCAAGTCCAATTTATTCTCAACATGTATACCAAAATAAAATAATAAATTTAACTGCTTAAAACTTATTTAATCTATCTTATTTAACAAAAATTTCTCATTTAATTACATATATTATTGATAATAGCATCTATTTGCTTTGCATTTATGGTTAATATCAAGTATGACATTATGATTTTAAACGTATATTTTAATTATCATACATATTTTTATGAGATAAGTATTTTTTTTATTTGAAATTATCAAAATTTTAATGTAATCATTAAAATTAAAATTTTAATATTTTATTAATAGATTACACAATTGTTAATATAAGTTATATATTTATAATACATATTTTAATTATGATTTTTAACAATTATTTTAATTATGATACCCAAAAATATTAGTAAAGATTGAAATTTTAAAGAGAAAATATCATATTTGGTGCATGAGATAATAGATAGAATAAGATAATAATTATTTTATATAATGTTTGGTTTGTATCTATAGAAATGAATATAATTATAAAAAATATTAATCATCCTTTTGATATAGAGAATTTAATCCTTCCGAAATAAAGAATATTATTTTTAATTTATATGATTGAATTTATATTTTTTATTATACTTTTAATAATTATATCAATAATTTAAATTATACACTTTGAGTAAGGATGATTTTAATTAATAAATAAATTATTTTATTTTAATTTTTACACACATTAATTATAAAACAAAATAATATTATTTAATTTAATCTTATTTATAATCTTATTTTATCATAATATTATGTATAAAAAAATATTAATTCCGATACACATATTTTTTAATTATTTCAACAGTTAAATGTACAACCGAAGAGCTTCCCGTGAGTGAATAGTATCCCACATTGTGCCTCGCGTTTTCCACCTCCTGACAAAAGTGTAGACTACAAAATAATAGAATAAAGTTACTCTCACCACTCAAACGACGTCGCTCATCTTCCTTAGTCGAATTCTACTGCATGTATCTTTCTATGGAACAGGCAAACAGAACTATAATCGGCTATGCCTTCTTTCCACGCAATAAGAATTGCTGCTGCCATCATCATCACCATCTCGTCCTCATCATCAGGGAATCAACGGCCAGGGAGCCACGCCCTTCTGATCATGGTCTTGAGTACCAGAGCCTGCCGCCGACGGGCTCAAGTCACTATTTTTAATCTATTTTTTTTTTTTGATAATCAAGTTTATCTCGAACTTTTTTTATTATTAATATATGTATATATCAGATGCCACATTTGGAAAGTAGAAGAAGTCAAGTTGTATAATTTTCTAATACGAAAAAGAAGTAATTGATACGTATGACTTGGTTAAACTTAAGATCTCTATTCAAACATTACTTATACTTCCAAGTTTCAATACATAGCTAAACCCAAACAAAATATAATAGTTGAGTTTATATTTTATATACTATCAATGTATATCAATGTATAAGTGTTATTCACTGTTACTGAATCACACAGTAACAACTCATAAAAAATTAATTATAAAATCTCAAAAGTAAATATATTTAATAGATCCTAAAAATATATTTAAAATTAATTTTTTATTAAATATCATTATATGGTTCACTTACAGTATATGAAACATAAATCCATAATCTTTATTACATAAATATAAACATAATATTTATTATTATAATTATAAATGGTAGGAAGAAAGGGTTGCAGACGACTGACGATTACCACTTGCAAACATGAATGTTAAGTTCTTTTTATATGGATCAAGCGAATGCAGCTAATTTGGGTCGAGGAGGGTTAACCACGCACATATCAAGATACTTATCAATGGTAGTGTAACTGTAGTCAGGATATAGCTTAGAGGCCTCCAAATCTTCTTCCATCAATTCATACGTCATTTGATCTCCTTTGATGAATATGTTGTGCAAAACCGCCACCGGAATGTTGTCCGGGAAAGGCAAGGCTATACCAAACAATAATAAGAAACATATTTCAATGTTGTCCAATGTCCAATATATATATATATATATATATATATATATATGAGATCGATAAGGGAATCAGTGCCTTACTCTCAGAGAGCTTTATAATTTCCTCTTCAGGAACATGAACTCTTTTAAAGGTTCGGCCAGTCTTTTCCTCCCATGCAGAAATCAGTTCCAACTGAGTAGTAACATTTGCCGGCGGCCTATAGATGATGACGCGATTGGCTACCCTTGGATCTGTCGCTGCTTTTACCGTAAAGGCTGCAATATCTTCCTCATAGTTGAACACAACTGCATGCATGTTGAATAAAAAATTTACATATTAAAATCTTCAAATAAAACGACATAGTTTCTATGATTGCTTTTACTTTTCTTTTAACTATTCAAAGCAAGAGATGGTTACCAATGTCAAATAACAGCATAATTTATATGGTTACTTGTACATTGCTTTTTTTTTTTTTTTTCTTTTAACCCAATCAGCAGGATTCCTAGGTTTGAATAGTTTGTTTTTAGCCTGACAACAATGATGTTGATGTTTCCAATAAGGTTACATACGCACGTACCCTTGGCTTGGCCAGTTCCATAAACCACAAGTTCATTTGGTTTCTCATGTGGGTGAAGAAGATAGTCAATAAAATAGACTAAAAATGAATTTGCAGCAACGTAAGTGTAAGGGAGTCCAGCTGCTTCTGCTGCCCTTCTGATCTTCCTTTTGTTAGCTAGTAAAGCTTCAAATGGTGGAAGTGCACTTGTTATTCTGTCTGCTTCATTTCCATATTCTGATGGCACAAACCTCTACAATTATTTCACAACTTGTTAGCCTCGGATTCATTCAACCTCAATAAACTTGTTAGCATCAAATAATAAAGAAATATTAAAAAAATATTGTCCCAAGGATTGTTACCCCCCTTTTTTTAAACTTCATTGCATATATAAAAAAACTACAGTTCATATAAACATAGATACAATCCAAGAGCATAATTATAAAGAAGTATATATTAATATTAGATAGGCACAATCCAAGAGAATAATTATAAAGTATATATTAATATTAGACAGACACAATCCAAGAGCATAATTATAAAATATATATTAATATTAGATAGACATAATCCAAGAGCATAATTATAAAGAAGTTTATATTAATATTAGATAGATATAATCCAAGAGCATGATTAAAAAGAAGTGTAATATTAATATTAGATATATTAAAGAGCAGAGTTATCCATCTAACATTGAAGCTCCGTTCAATATTTGAAGAAATCGAGTAAAAATATTAAATCATTAAATGGATTTAAATAAAAAAAAAGAGTTTTAAAATTGATGAGATCGGCTTGGTATGATCTAACAATTATATGATATGTGTATTATTTTTATATTTATATTTATATTATATAAATGATAAATATATTACAGTGTAAAACATTAAAAAATATATTAAGATATCCATTTTTAAAAACTTAATAAAAAATAAAAATACTAAAGATTAAATAAAAAATGCTATGTTTTTATTTTTTAACTATGTATGGACATATTTAGACAAAATTTAAAATTTGAATTATTGGATAAAATTAAATTTAAACAAACATATAAGACATTAATATCATATTTAAGTCAATATGAACCTAGTCTAGCTAAACCCATGGACATCTCTAAGTAATATAGAAAATAAATATTTTTTAAACTTTGAGTTTCTTTGATTAAGAGTAATAACCTTTATCGTGCCAGCATCTTTCATGGCACTTATTATTTTGAGTTGGTCAAGATGTTGGGGGACTGCTAGTGTAGAAATCACAACCTCAACCTGTTGAAGCACCGAAACTAGCTTTTCATGCTCATCCAACTCCCCCTGTGTTAACGTAAAACAAGTTAAATCAATGATCAAGAAAGAAAAAAGTAATTAAAACACAATTTTATACTTAATTTGGAGAAGAAAAAGAATAAAAACCAGAGAAAAATAGCATAAAACAAAAAGTAAATACGAAAATAATAATTACTAGGAAGAAAAGCAATGAAGTTACGTAGAATATGGTGACACCCATGGATTCAAAGTCCTTGAGAAGATCTAACTTGGAAGAGGAGTTGTTGTGACTAAGTGGGCGAGTGTAGGCATAAGTAGGATGACCCAAGACCACGCTTGCCTTCACCATGTATTTCCCAAGATAGCCAGTGGCACCAAATATCAAAATCTTGCTCTTTTCACCGCCCATGGCCATCCTTTCTCACACCTTAAGTTAAGCAACTCAGACTGATCAATCCTTTATGTAGGAAAAGAGCCGCTGAATATTGGCCTATTTGGTCAGTTAAAAAGATAGATAAGATCGAATATGATAATTAAATATCGGACCAAGTACATGGAATTTGCGTCAATAAAAAAAAATTCAATGGAAAGACCATTCATTTGAAAACAATGCTACAATGACCCCACCACATTTAATCCTTTTGTCCAAAATTTCTTTCACTCATTTCTTTTTTTTTTTAAATTGATCATCTCAGTCAAAAGAGCCGGCAAGAAACATCAACCTTCCCCTTTTTTCAATTCCTTATTTCTTTTTTTTTAATATGTAATTTTGAGTCATAAAAATTATCACGTAACTATTTTCAATATAATTAATTTTATTTTATTGCAAATTCAAACCCATGATCAAATCCATAAACCAAACCTTCCTTTTCATGGTACTTTGTTGTTTTTATAATCTTTTTCTTCTTCAAACATTATCATGGAATGAGTAAGATAAAAAAAATAAATCAATGATGAACTTATGAAAAGAATCTAAAAAAATAAAAATAATTACATGAAATAGATATCCAAATGTATGAAAAGGGTGAGAAATATACCAAAAGGGAGGTTTTCTTCTACAAGAAATTTTCCTTTTCAATAGTTTTTTGGGCTGGAAAAAGAGAGGAGAACCTAAAAAACCCTATATCTTTCTATTTAAAATATCAAAACACCCTCTCAATCATTGGATGAAGATGCATCCAATGATTGTTGTTATTTTGTTTTTTTTTTTTTTAACAAATGAAATATATTACTCTTTCGCTCATTTTCGTTATTCATTTTTTTGGGATATTTCAAAATTATATTTTTTAATATACAAAATTCTTTTTTTTATATTTTAAATCATTTTTAAATTTTTTTCTTTTTAATATAAAAATCAGAAAACTTTAATCTTATAAAAAAAATTTGAATTTTAATATTAAATATATTAAAACTAAAATTTTTTCTTAAATTTTATAAAAGTTAATATAATTTAAATATTTTAAGACAGACGAAATATATCTTAAAAAATTTACTATAAAAATCATCTACTTGTCTTTATGCCTTAGAGACGTCTTTGCATTTTTCTCTTTCCCAATTTCTGCCGCCGTGAACTTTCCTACTGTTTTTTTTACTTTTTTTTTTTTATGGTTACTTGGAGTTTTAAAAAAGCATTGTTTGTCCTTTCCTGTACGGTCAAATGCCCATTTGATTTACATTGACGTCAGGTAACTTGAAATAACGGGTTTTACGCTTCAATTATAGGGTTAAAATGAAAATTCCCCTTCAACGCAAAGTCGAAAACTTCTCAAAGTTCATTTGCCTACGGCTAAGTAATTAGAAATTAACATTCCATTTGTTTTACAAAATATAATTTTTAAAAAATAATTTTTATATTTTAAAGTATTTATTTAATAAAAAATTAGTTGATTAATGAAAAATAATTTATTAGTCAATAAAAAATAAAATTATTTTTTAAAAATTATCTTAGAATTAAAAAATATTTTTCAAAAAAATATTTATGGGTAAAATTATTTATTATATTTTTTAATATAATTTTACTTATAAATAATATTATATAAATAAATAATAAAATTATAATAATAAATAAATAATATTATATTAATAAATCATATATTAATAAATAATAAATTAATATATAATATATTATGAATAAGTAATATACTATTAATATAATATATTAAGAAATAATATTATTATATATTAATAAATAATATTATATTAATAAATAATAAATAATGAATATTATTAATTTAAATAAAAATATTATACTAATATATGAATAAATAATAGATTATTAGTAAATAATATACTATTAATATAATATAATTTTTTAAGTTTCTCTTGTTTGTAATTTCCTTTTTATTTTACATGGAAGTCTATTTTAGAGAACTGTTTGATAATCTATCTTCATCTATAGACAAAATGCCCTTATATAATTTTAATCTAATTTTTTTTATAATGAAGTTTATCTCAAACATTTTTTTAAATCTCTATAATTATTAAAAATTGAATACATATATTGTGAAATTGTTTTTGTTCTCTCAATTACTTTTGATTGCTATTTTTTTATTCCTTCCAATTTTTAATATTAAATTCTTTATGAACAAATTTTTAATATTAATTAATGACTAAAAAATTGAGTACAAGCTATACAAGTTCAAATTTGGAAAAAAGAATTAAAGAACACAGTCTAAAATAAACTTTTTTTTTGTCATCACAGGCTAAATTAAACTTCAAAAGAATAAATTATCGAACCAAGTATAAAAAAACTACTATGAAAATATACATAAAATTAAAATTTCCCATGCCATATGCTATAACTCAAAGTTTTCAAGTGGAGAATAAATTTCAAAATAATACTAAAATTCTATACCATATGCCCCTACAATTCTCCTCTCACGCAAAGTTGAAAACTTCTCAAAGCTGATTGCCTACTCCATGTAATTTGAAATTAACATTTTTTATCATTAATTTATGTCAATTAATAATCAAATGGACATTACGCCAGCACAAATATATTATTAATATAAAATCATTAAAGACATTATCAGTATAGTTTTTTAATTTTACAAACAAAATTAATAAGATAACACATGCTCTAGGATATATTTAAAAAAAAAAAAAAACTAATCAAAGAAAAAGATATGTGTCCTCTATTAATTCCATTTATATAATTAAAAAATTATACTTATAATGAATCAAAATTTTTATTATTATTAATATATGTATATATCAGATGTCACATTTGGAAAGTAGAAGGAATCAAGTTGTATAATTTTCTAATACAAAAAAAAAGTAATTAATACGTATGACTTGGTTTAATTTAAGATCTCTATTCAAACATTACTTATACTTCCAAGTTTCAATACTTAAGCTAAACCCAAGTAAAATATAACAGCTGAGTTTATATTTTATATACTATCAATATATAGATGCTTTATGTTATCACTGAATCACACAGTAACAACTCATAAAAAATTAATTATAAAATCTTAAAAATAAATATATTTAATAGATCCTAAAAATATATTAAAATTAATTTTTTATTAAATATCATTATATGGTTCACTTAGAGTATATCAAACATAAATCTATAATCCTTATTACATAAATATAAACCATAATATTTATTATTATAATTATAAATGATAGGAAGAAAGGGTTGCAGACGACTGACGATTACCACTTGCAAACGAGAATGTTAAGTTCTTGTTACATGGATCAAGCGAACGCAGCTAATTTGGGGCGAGGTGGGCTAACCACGCACATATCAAGATACTTATCAATAGTAGTATAACTGGAGGCCTCCAAATCTTCTTCCATCAATTCATACGTCATTTGATCTCCTTTGATGAATATGTTGTGCAAAACCGCCTCCGGAATGTTGTCCGGGAAAGGCAAGGCTATATCAAACAATAATAAGAAACATATTTCAACGTTGGCCAATGTCCAATATATATATATATATATGAGATCGATAAGAGAATCAGTGCCCTACTCTCAGAGAGCTTTATAATTTCCTCCTCAGGAACATGAACTCTTTTAAAGGTTCGCCCAGTCTTTCCTCCCATGCAGAAATCAGTTCCAACTGAGTAGTAACATTTGCCGGCGGCCTATAGATGATGACGCGATTGGCTACCCTCGGATCTGTCGCTGCTTTTACCGTAAAGGCTGCAATATCATCCTCATAGTTGAACACAACTGCATGCATGTTGAAGTAAAAAATCTACATATTAAAATCTTCAAATAAAACGACATAGTTTCTATGATTACTTTTACTTTTCTTTTAACTATTCGAAGCAAGAGATAGTTTACTAAAGTCAAATAACAGCATAATTTATATGGTTACTTGTACTTCGCTTTTGTTTTGTTTTTTTTTCTTTTTCTTTTAACACAATCAGCAGGTTTCCTAGGTTTGAATGGTTTGTTTTTAACCTGAAAACAATGATGTTGAAATTTCTCTCGTAACGGTTTTAAGACCGTCAAACGTAAAGTGAGTTTTAAAATCGAAAAAAAATAAAAGGGAGAAGTCACCATCAATCTTTGTTAGGGTACGATTAGTCATCCAAAAGTTTATTTTTTTAATAAAACTATAAAAACAGGTTTAAAGTTTATCAAAAAGATAAATTTTGATCTACGAAAAATCAGGTTAGATCCGGGAGTCGGTTATATGTGAGGAAGGATTAGCACCCCACAACGTCCATAAATTAGTACCATTTAATTATGCGCTATTTTCGATGTTGGATAAAAATGATTTTAATTTGAAATTTAATACTAATTCCCTTCATTTGAAAAATAAAATTTTGCTAAAAATTTTTATTTAGAAATATTGAGAAAACCTTTAAGTTAAAGAGTTATCTTAAAATTCTCTAACATATAGACAGAATTTAAAATAATTATTTTCGCTTAAGATTTAATACAGCAATCCTTAAAATGAAATAACACTTTTTATAGAAAATTATTTGTGACTCTCCAACATCTAGGCAGGTACCAAGAATTATTTCTTTCGAAATGTTATTTTTATTTTATTTTATAATATCATAATTTTTTTAAAAGTATTATTTATTTTTTAATTATACAATATTTTATCATCAAATAGTAAATAAAAATTAAAGACAGAATAATACAAATAATTATCAATGATAACACGTGAACGTATGTATGCCAATGAATGTTATATAAAATGAGATGCAATTTTAAAGTTGGATTCTTAAGTATAATGAGATCACCATGACTCTCCAACATCTAGGCAAAGCTTAGGTGCGACTGTTTATATTTAAGATCTCAATTTACTATTATACTTTTTATTTATTAATCTTATTATTAATGCGAATTAATAAATCGTGTGAAAAGATTTAACAGAGTAAAATTTCCTAAATACCCCATCATCTAGGCGGCATTCGAAAACAAATTACTTCAAATGAAATTTTCACATGTGTCCTTAGGATTTTTAAAATTTTAGATTTTAAGGAGTTTTGGATTTTAGGAGTTTTAGAAACCTAGGATTTTAAAAATTAAAAATTTGTGTTTAAGGTTTTGTTTTTAAGAAAATACGAACATCTCTAAAAATTTCCAACATCTAAGCGGATTTTCGAAGCAAGTTCGATTTTAATGATTTTTAAAAATTAATTAAAAATTATTATATATTTTTTATGAAAATTTATT